TTCTTTTTATTATTACTATAGCAACACCCGCCTAAGCAGGTTCAAATATAACTGCCGTTTTCATTTAGCACGACTAAGCACAAGAGGATAGTAAAATTAATTTAAAAATTACTTTAGCAAAATTTATTATATAAAATAAGATAAATTGTATCTTTTAATTCTCATATAGGTAATTACTATATTATAACTAGGATCAATATTTTGACCTTGAAAATTTATTCTTGAAGCAGTCTTGATGTTTTAAACCTTAATACTTGTACTGCCTCTATAGATTATATATCATAAAAATTATATTTACTCTATATAGAGCTAAGACTATTATTCTTAAAGGACCCAAAAAAAAAAAGGGGGGGAGGAGTGAGAGAAGAGGCAATTTATCCCAAGAAATGACAGAGCTCAAACTCAGCATTTAATCCCTTAGGCTGCAACGTATCTAAATTATAAATCCATTTCATCTCAGTAATGCCCAATTGTTTATTATGGTCTCCGCCTCTCCAATTTTTATTTACTTTGCATATCCCCTTAAAATTCAAAAGACTCATATCCGAATTGTGATACTGCTTAAAATGGGCTGAGACTGAGTGTTGCATATAACCCTTTTTTATATTCAACATGTGTTCTCTTATTCTCACATACAACTGCCTCTTTGTTCTTCCTACGTACTGGAGCCCACATGGGCACTCCAGTACATATATTACGTTAATACTGTGGCAGGTGATATTTTCCTTTATTTTAAAGGATTCTCTCCCTTTCTTGCAGTTGTTGTTAATAACTTCAAATACTCCTTTTGTTTGTTTGCATTTACTTTCTTTGCATGCAATACAGTCTAGGCAATAAAAGAAACCATTCTTCTTTGTTATAATTGGGACATTCCTTCCTTTTAGATGTTTATTTGTTATTTTTCTTCTTAGGTTCGGTGCGCCCCTAAAAATTATTCTGGGTCTTGCTGGTAAAATGTCGGCCAGTATTTTATCTTTTTTCAATAAATGCCAATGTTTAGTAAGTATTCTTTTTAGTTGTTTATTTTCTTTGTTGTAATTCAAGATAATTGCTGGAAAATCTTCTCCTATTCTTTTTATTTGTGATTTATCTCTATTTTTCATGAGATTGATACGATCTAGCTTCTCTACTCTACATAGTGCCTCCTCTATTTCTTTCTGTTGGTAATTTTTCGACAAGAATTTGTTTTTTACTGTTTCCGCTTGTTCTCTATAAACTTCAGAGTCTGTGCAATTGCGTTTCAGACGTCTAAATTCATTATAGGGTACGTTCTTTAACCACGTAGGCAAATGACAGCTCTCTTTAAGAATAAAACTGTTCACATCAACTTCTTTGAAGTGCGTTTTCGTTTTTACTTTCCCAGACTCTATATAGATGGTAAGGTCAAGAAATTCTACCTGTGTTTTACTACAAGTAGTATTCAGTTGCACTCCCCAGGTGTTCTTATTTGCATATTCCAGAAACTTCTGCAAATCATTCATCTCACCTTCCCATATAAAGAAAACATCATTGATGTATCTTTTATATCTGTGGATGTTCTTATTCCAAGGATGTCCATTCCAAATGTGATTGTCCTCCCAATCCCCCATGAACAGGTTGGCAAAACTAGGGGCAAATTTCGTCCCCATGGCTGTTCCCTTCTTCTGGAGATAGAACTGATCTTCAAATAGAAAATAATTGTTCTTTAGAATAAAAGCAATTCCTTCTATTATAAATGCAGTTTGCATATCTTCCAGTTCCCCATATTTATTCAATGAGTTTCTCACGGAATCACAGCCTTATTGGTGATCAATAATCGTATATAGGGAGGTCACATCTGTAGATACTAGAATATAATTGTCTTGCCAGGAAAGGGAGTCCAGTTCTTTAATCATCTGTGTCGTATCCTTAAGATGGGACTTAACCCTGGACACATATGGTTGTAAAAATGCATCGATGTATTGTGACAAATTTGATGTGATGGAATTTATCCCCGATATTATTGGTCGACCGGGGGGTGCTGTCAAGTTCTTATGAATTTTCGGTAAGAAATAAAAGGTAGGGGTTCTTGGAAAGGGAATAGCAAGAAATCTATATTCGGACTCCTTTAGGATTCCTATGTCTTTAGCTTTACCCAGCATAGTTTCAAGTTCAATCTTTATTGTATTCAATGGATCAATTGATAATTTCTTGTATGTTTCAGGTTCTTCCAGTAGTCTGGATGCTTCTTTTAAATAATATTCACTCGACATAATAACTATTCCTCCACCTTTATCCGCTGGTTTGATGCAAATCTTTTCATTATTACTTAGATCCTTAATTGCTTCTCTTTCTTTGCTTGTTAAGTTATTCCTTGAATGATTGTTCTTTTTCATCTTCCTTATATCATCAGTTACCAATTCCTCATATATTTCCATCCCAGCAGATACTTGATTCAAAGGATAAAATTTAGAAGTTGGTCTCAGTTGACTATGTTGGAACCTACTTAGAGGCTCTTCTTTTACTGGAAAATCTGGTATCTGATGAAAATGTTTTTTGATGCTTAATTTTCTTATAAACCTTTTAACATCGATGGTTGCTTCAAATTTATCCAAATGTGCTGTCGGTGCAAATTTTAATCCTTTATTAAGTGCTGTAATGTGGTGGGGTGATAATTGTATGCCAGCAAGATTAAATATTCCTACTGGGTGCTCTTCTTGGTCTTTTTCTTGCTTATCCCTTGTTCTTCTTCCTCCTCTATTTCTTCTAGGTTTAACTCTTTTCTTTTTGACCTTCTTGGTGTCATCGGATGAAACCATGTAGTTATTTCTCTGGTGTTCCTTCCTAAAAAAAACGCCTCTCTTGTGGTATTATGTACCTCAGCTTGGACCGTTACTGTGTTTCCTCCTGCAGGGGTCTCCACATATTCTTCCTCTGTTCTCCTTTCAGATGTCTTCTCATTTTCCCTATCTTTATTTCTACTGTGCATTTCATTCCTCCTATTAAAGTTGGTATTGAGTGGCATTTTGTGTTTCCGCTCATCTTGACCTCTTACTCTATATAGAGTAAATATAATTTTTATGATATATAATCTATAGAGGCAGTACAAGTATTAAGGTTTAAAACATCAAGACTGCTTCAAGAATAAATTTTCAAGGTCAAAATATTGATCCTAGTTATAATATAGTAATTACCTATATGAGAATTAAAAGATACAATTTATCTTATTTTATATAATAAATTTTGCTAAAGTAATTTTTAAATTAATTTTACTATCCTCTTGTGCTTAGTCGTGCTAAATGAAAACGGCAGTTATATTTGAACCTGCTTAGGCGGGTGTTGCTATAGTAATAATAAAAAGAATTACAATATACTATCCTCTTGTGCTTAGTCGTGCTAAATGAAAACGGCAGTTATATTTGAACCTGCTTAGGCGGGTGTTACTATAGTAACAATAAAAAGAATTACAATATACTATGTTGTAGAATATAACATAGAGTAATGTTTTTCATTTGTGCTCTTATGTAGCTAATTAGGCTTACATTGTTAGCACATTTCTGTAAGCATCTATTTTTTTTGCCGGGAAACAGCAAGCCGGCTACTGCTATATAAACGGATACAACGAAGCAGACCGCATCCATTGAGAAAGCCGCCGAAGCGGAGAAACTCGTTTGGAGGGGTCTGACTCCCATCGATACAAGCCAGCACTCATACATCAAAGAGGACTTTTAAAATGATATTTTTCAGCATGCTTTTTGGTTGACTCGGGACGCCGAGATTATCAAATAAGGTCTGGACTTTCTTTCCTTTTGTGCATGTTTTTTTTTCTTAAATAACTATTTTTAATAGATGGTATTTTTATTTGTATATTAATAAATTGTGTTTTACAATTATTATTGAGTACGTAAGTGAGACTATTATGAATAACTAGATGATAAGGTGCTTCTATTGATTTTACATTTTGTTTTATATTATATAGGTCGTTAGGTTTCCTATTTATATACCTTATCTCTTATCTATACATTTTCTAGTTAATCAGCGCTCCACTTATTATACATTTATTTACTATTGTCAGTCTGATTTTAATACAGATCTAAAAATCGAAAAATGATTGATACTAGCTCTGGACATAAGCATTAGTACATTATGATGTATATAGGAGACTGCTCTAATGGCCAGGCTAATTTGAATTACTATTTTGGATGTTCTGTGTCCACCTCACTTCATTTTGCTTTATTTTATCTTATTATGTCAAGTATGTTTCTAATTTTGTGAAGTGTATTTTATATGTTTTATATATAGAGTCTTCTTGCCCTATTAATACATTGTACATAACAATGTTTTAAATGATCCCAAACAAAATTTTTTAGACATTAGTCTGCATCTTTAAGAAATCTTTGCTGCCGCTTCCAAAGCAGAGTATAAAACTGCTCAGAAGTGGCCGCGGCACCTATCTTGAAAAAGCCCAATCCAGGAGGGAGAAACTCGTTGATGGTGCAGGACGTTCTTTCCAGCAGCTGGAGACCATGCACAAAGTTTTTGCTTTACAGCGAGAGATACCCTTGGCATTCCTCCAGGCGCAGATCGTAGACAGTCGGCTTAAGTGCACAAAGCACATGCTGTCTCTTCCCAAGGATCTGGTAACCTTATGACTGCCTGGCAGGCTCAAGTGCACACTTTGCTGATTTAGTGATACTTATAAATAAGCACTACCATTTTATCTTGTAAGAGTTTCATATTTGTTTTTTGTTATAGGGAAATTAAATCTACAGTGTTACACTATGTTAATGTCTCCTTGATTCAACACTGTGGTTTGACACATAAGTGGACACAGTTAAAAGATTTACTCCTTCATCATTGTTATACTGATTTTGGAACTCAAGATTTTACAAGTTTGATTTGTGATACCCTGGAGAATATCTTACAGGGGAAGACTCACTAAGCGCTGACATTATGGTTTGCAAAAACTAAAATATGATGTAGAATAAAGACCACTGAATGACAAGTTAACATTTTATAAATATTTATTTAGGAATTTTGGAAAGCAATCTGTTCCTAAAATTGAAGCCTTGTCTTTTGTGTTACTTATAAATAACACAAAAGACAAGGCTTCAATTTTAGGAACAGATTGCTTTCCAAAATTCCTAAATAAATATTTATAAAATGTTAACTTGTCATTCAGTGGTCTTTATTCTACATCATATTTTAGTTTTTGCAAACCATAATGTCAGCGCTTAGTGAGTCTTCCCCTGTAAGATATTCTCCAGGGTATCACAAATCAAACTTGTAAAATATATATATATTAGGTTTAGATGTATTAGATGTTAAACCTTTCCTACGACCCCAGTAGTGATAAAGTTAAACAAACATATTAATTTCCAAACTAATGTATTTTACTCTTTTCTTATTTTATCTGAATGTGACTATAAAATGTATTTTAACTTGAGAATTGCCTGTCACAAAAAACACACTTATCTAACGTGTTCTACAGAAACTGATAAAATAATATAAAATAAAAAAATACCCAATTTAGAAACAAAAATCAAGTTGTCTACCTAATGTCCCTCTTTCTCTTTGTAGTTGAAGAGAAGATAATTTAGCACTAGTTTGTTCCTTTTATGAAAAGAACCTCTTTGACGTCTATGTATAATGCAATCTTAAAGTGTAACCATAAATTACTCCTTTTGCCATTTCATACAGGTAATGGGAAATAAAAGAGCTATTTGCGTAATATTGGTACATTTATCATATGTTTTAGCACCATTTATTGCTAAAAATGATGAAGAAATGGTCCTATTATAATGGAATAACTGTTAAAAAAGATCCTCTGAGACAGTACAAAAGCTTTGATTTTTAAAAAATATATATTCTATTTTTTTAATGTTTAATACATATTGTAGCTTTTATAGGGAAAATACATCTTTAAAACTAAATGGCCATAATTATATCTACTTTACAATTTTTGCTAGTAATTCACATAAATATTCTTAGTACCCAAACTATTACAAATTTATTTTTTAAAGGCTACATAAAGGTGCCCAGAATATTTGTGGTTAACCCATAAGCACTCATAAGTTGTATGAATAGATTGTATTATTTTTGTTAAATATAGGTCACAGAGGACCATGTTATATACTTTGTGAGCAGTTCTTAAATACTAGATATTTGATATTATTCCAGAGTCTAGTTTTAACGCAACAATAATATAGTTATTCACTAAAGTGAGTATTCAAAAATAATTCAAAATTAATTTTTAATTTAAGGTATATAGTCAGCTATATTTTGTCTACTTTGATTTTATATTTGAAATTGACTGTTCTGTGCTGCATCTGAAGATTGATAATTTGTATTTTGCATGCTTCTACTTTTCTTCCTATATTTTTCCATTTTTAGTTCTTTTTATAGCACACTACCATGGATGTATTGTGAATAACAAGTTATTCAGAATTGGCAATGTTGAAGTTAAAATCCCCAAATCTGAACCAGGTGGGCCAATTTATTACCTTGTCAACAGTGGAGTAACAAAATGGTCTTTAAGAGGTCTCATTCTCAAGGCAGAAATGTTCTAAAGCTTGGCACTACCCTAATATTCATTATTAGTAGTGGGATGAAGCAAGATATCTCTCCATTTCGTTACTCCCTGTCAAGTGATCTCTAGTAGAGCATAACAACTTCAATGACCAGGAACAATACATCTGTACCAGTGGAGAAACAGATGTTTCTGTAGAAATGGACCATTAGGGAATTATCTCTCTGTTTTCTGTCTCATCTAATGCAAGGTAGTGTTAAAAACCTGATAGTCCTTTGATTTCTTGAAAAAATTAACTCTGCATCTGTCCTTTGCATGAGGTTTAATTTTTATAGAATAAGTGATGCCATATTAAGTATAAATGTACATTCTTCTACTTGAAAAAATCTTAGCACCAAATGTTGAACGGTCTTTGAATAGTAGGCATGTCCATTCGTGTGACAATGAATAGTTTTGTCCAGATTCATTTTGCGTAGAACCCCCTTTTAATACAGTTTTAAATGGATTGATCAGTGTAAAGGGATGCTGTAGGCTCTGTAATTGCTTTATCTCATTCAAGTGGCTACAGTGTCTGGCATCCCCTGGCGCCATTGTCCATTCAGTGTTAAACTGTATTTAATGCCCTTATGATAAATTGAAGTCCCTGGTAGCCCATCACCCTTGTAATGCTCTGGCTAATGAGGAAGCAATAACCTGAGCAGCAATGGGTAGCTGTGATTGGCCGAGAGTGTCTGCTTAACACTTTCAGCCTATAACACTGCCCATTCAGGTTTGAATTGGTATGGCTAAAAGGAAGTGTGTAACCTCTGCCTTAGACACACCTACAAAGGGGCGGGGATATGAAAGCCTGGATCCTAACTCAGTTTTAAACTTCTCAAAAGTGGTTTAACACCAAACGGAGAGATAATGGTAGGGGAATATAGGCTCTATAACCAATTCAATGAGATGAAAAGGTTATCATGCCTACAATGTCCCTTTAAAAAAATATTGAAAGGGTTTTATGCCAGATGAAACTGGGGAAAATAATTCGTGGTAAGACAAATCAACTAATGTACACATCTAATAAAAACAGAAAAAGTGGGGGGATGGGTCTGCGCCAATGAGCACAATAAATAGTATTATTAAGTCCAGTAGGATCTATTCTGTCGCATCCAAGGGTCTACTTCAGTAATATCCAAGGGGTGTTGATGGTGTGAAGAGTAATCCAAATATGTAACAAAATAGAAGAGATCTTACTTACAATTGGCAGAGCTTAACCCAGCTCTGGTGTGAATGGCTTACAGCGGTATTATCCCCGCTTTCAGGATATGCGGCAAGTGTCCTCTTCTTTGTGGTGGCAGGTAACCAAGTTGGAAAATAAAAGTAGAGACAATAATGGTGCAGTATATTCCACACGTATGGTAAAAAATTATAAAATATAGTAGATACACTCACATTCGGTAGAGCTTTAACTAGCTCTAGTTGATTTGGCGTACAGCGGTATTATCCCCGCTTGTGGGATATAAGGTGAGTGATCTTGACTTGGACCTCAGGAGCTCGGAGAGAAGATAAAACAGCGATAGTGCTCTCAATAAAATGTAGGTGAATGAATAAAATAATAAAATATACTCACAATATATAGGGCAGGCTAACTGCTCTATGTAACAGCGTGGGTGGTATAATCCCCACCTAGGATTCTTTGGAGTATAGTATCCAGAAAAAAATAAATAAATAAATAAAATGGATAAAACGTGTTATTTAAAAGAAAGGAAAAATGCTATATAAAAAGCCAGGTAATAAAAAACAAAAGATGATGGTTTAAACATAAAAACAACCAAAATCTTTATTATTGACAGTATATAAAACAGTAAAAAGTATCCAAACGCGTTTCGCCAATATGAGGCTTTATCAATGGATAATAAACATTTGAACCTGGCTGGTTAGAGTTTATATAGGTATAAAATTAATTTAAAATTGGCGCCAAAATTGTGTAGCCAATAGCAAAACAGATCTTTTATACATTTACATAACAGCTTTTAGTGTTACAAATTCAATAAATATGGCTAATATGATGCTTAAAATGTAATTTGTAAGCAAAAACGAGCATTTATTAATAACAAATATTGTATAATAAGCCGGACCACGTGAAGCGCGTCATACGCGCGACGTCACTTCCGGCCGGCGGAATCATGGGACATGTAGTCTAGAGATAGACTACATGTCTATACACTGAGTGGGAACCCTCACTGGGCTGGGGAAAGGAGAGGGAGGTAGATAGAGGATTGGTTAGGAGAGGTCATGTGACGCACGTCGTCGGCGTGACGTCACATCCGGCCGCACGGAATTTTGGGACTTATAGTTTTTAAATATTTGAGTTAACTCCATATAATTTGAGTGAATGAAGCCCTCTATTGGGCTTATAAAAAAGAGAAAGAAAGGAAAATAAACTGGATCTTTATAAAAGGAAACTGAATGTTTGAGACAGTAAATAACGCCCTCTGTTGGGCTAAATAAAAAAGAAAGTTAATAATATCAAAATAATAACGGCGGCCATCTTGGGTGGGGAAAATGATGAATAAGGATAGCAAAGTGAATAGCCATATTGCTGCAGGCAGAATTAGGCACATCAATAAAAAGTAAATAATGTACATATTATAAATTACTAGTACATAAATAATAAGCTATAAGGCATAAAACACATATAAAAATGTTAATACATGTTAGAAAGAGGTAAATTAAAAAGTTAAATAGTTATAGTGAAGTAAAAAAAAAAAAAAACATTAAAAAATGATTAGATAAAAATGAATAAGTCAAAATCTGCATTTAAACCATTTGGGATCAGTGTTTTTAGATTAAAAACCCATTCCATTTCACATTTGCCTAAAATATTTTTAATATTACCTCCTCTCCATGGAATAGTGCATTTTTTTATGCCAATACATTTTAAGAGACCAGGATCATTATTATGGATATTAAAATGTTTAGACACAGTATGATTCTGGTATCCGTTAATAATATTTCGGCAATGTTCTCCTAACCTAATGTACACATCTACTAAATAGTTACAGACCCAAGTGATAGCATATAATTCCCCTAATACATTCTGTATTTGTCTTATACAGCTGTTTATGTCTCACAGTACATTGTTTTTAGAGTCTTTTGACATTCACTACATTTACAGTGTACAAATATTTTATTTGATCATTAATTCATATTTCTATCCAAAGATGCTAGTTTAATTTTTCTATAAATAAACTGATGCCATTAAGTTACCAGGATAGGATATGTAGCCTTGTTACACCATTTTGACGTTGCTCTATATTACAAAGGCTGTACATTAACTGCAGGCTTGAAGGTTGTTTTTTAAGTGCTGTCTCTGGTTTGCAGAGTAAGGCAAAACTACACAAGCAATGAAAGACTTTTCGTTACAAACTATAGAATTCTATTGTTTTTGTGCTATGTTAGCAGATCACTCAGTTGAATAAGTATTGCTTGTAAATGGATGTGGTTACATGGAAGAATTATTAACAATAGATCCATTTTAACAACTTTCAAGGAGGTTTTGTGCCTGGTGTTTTATAATTAAAGAAGAGTTTTCTAAAGCTAATTATCCTACTCCTCACTTTAAATCTGAT